TACTACAATGAATTTATATATATTATTTTTTATTTGGTGCTTTAAGAAAGTTACTTTCCCTTTAGAAAATGGCTGTTTTTCTTCAAAACGCTGTTATATTGTTAACCGCTAGAATTTTGTTAGTTTATATAGTTCGTACAGTGAAGGACACATTGTAGATTATAACGAAAGTCTTATAACAAGATTCTAATTCGATTCATTTGTGATAAATTTTCGATTAATCACATTATTCGTACATAATAAATTTTTTATGGAGTGTATTCAAAGAGATGAAAATCTACGCGGGTAAAAAAATAAAAGAACCGGTATTTCAACAAATATTTTATATTGATTACTCAAATTTGTGTTTACGCGGGTTGCTAGCAGCAAGGCATGTCGGGCCGATAGAAGACCGTGATAGAAGACCCTAATCGCGAGCCAATCAGTGGGCAGGATCGCGGCACGGGCACTTCAGTCTTGTACTCGATCGAGGAATAGTCGCTGTCGGTTTAAGCGAGCAAAAATTTTTGTGTAAATCTGTTCACTGAGAAAAAAATAAGTACACACAGCTACCGTGGCGGAATATAACGATCGTTTTCTTGTGTATTAGTCGGTGAGAGTGATATTTTGAAATAGGTATGTCGCGTGTTATTTAGTCGAACTTATTTTTTCTGGTTTTCGACCGGGAAACCAGGCTCTTGTGTCAAAATCGGTCTTTGATTATCGATGATTCCATTACCCGGACGTAGTAATTAATTTTCGAACGAGCTGCGTTCAATCGAAACCATGGTTGCGTGACACGAATTATGATTCTCGTCATTGCATATCGACAAAACATTATCCTCCCGCGTTTCACCTCCGCAACTATACTTCAGGATACTATTTGTATCGCGCTTCTTGAGCATACCTGAGATTTTATGGATTTTATGGATTGTCATGCCGGCACATGACGTATACGCTACTGTCAAAATTGCGCGCATTCATTACCCCAGGTTCAGAGAAGAAAAAAAAATACTTGCCTGCTAACAGTACATTTTGCATGCCGAGAATTGATAGATTGTGATTTCATTGTAAGTTGCACGAGAAATATCTTATTTTCTCTCCTGGTACGTTTCAGAGCCACAAAAATGTCAGACAGAAAGGCTGTGATCAAGAATGCTGACATGGCAGAGGAGATGCAGCAGGATGCTGTTGACTGTGCAACTCAAGCCCTTGAAAAATACAATATAGAAAAGGTATGTTTAGGAACAAGCTGGAATGTTGTAGCAGATTTTGTGTGTATGAGAGAAAACAGTACACATATCTGGATTTAAGTGGAGATAAGTTATAGTGTATTAATTGCACTAATGAATGAGATAGGAAAAAGTGACAAATTTGACATTGAAGGATCTGTATTGGATTAAGTTGTGTTTTTTATTCCAGGACATTGCAGCTTTTATTAAGAAAGAATTTGATAAAAAGTATAATCCAACGTGGCATTGTATCGTAGGACGTAATTTTGGAAGCTACGTGACACATGAAACAAGACATTTTATCTATTTTTACCTGGGTCAGGTAGCGATCCTCCTCTTCAAGAGTGGATAAATCGGAATCTATTCTATAATCACCATCCTTTCTTCCTCCTTTCACACAAGTTACATGGAATACCTTTAGTCACATCACCATCTGTAAGAGAAATTACAATATTGTGTATAATGGAAATTTGTTTTTCAAAAAATGAAACATGTGCTCCTAGTTAAAAGTGTGTGTATGTGTGTGTATATATAAATATATATATGTATGTATGTATATATATATATACACAGACACATATGCATATACAATGTTCATATATATAAAGTATATATGTATATGAACATTGGTACTACTGACTTTGCTGTTTTACTTATCTCGGGAGATAAGACAATGACAAAAATTTATGTAGAATCTATCGAAAGGGTAGGGGGATGATTAACTGAATGATAAGAAAGAAGAAGAAAGAAAAAAAAAGAAACAAATTGACATACAATCTTACATGTTAAAATGTATTGTGTATGCCAGAAAGTTTGTTGTGTTCTTGTTTTATATTAGGTATATATAATGCGAGGTTGAGTTCAATACTGGCGATTTTAAATTAATAAATTGTTAGTGTTTAAATACACTAAATGCACCTAAGTATAATGTAACATTCATACAAATTCATGTATGGTTTTTATTGTCTTTACTATGCTTTAAGAAAAAATTGTATCCAATAGTCGTCAATAATGAATGTAAGCCAAACTTTGATTTTGATTGTCTGCAATCGTTATTTTTATGTAACTTTGTATAAATTGTCCCTTTATTATTCTGTGATGCTGTGCAGCAACAGATCATCAAATTCTAGTTCGTTTGAATTCTGATGAACTTCTGTAAATTCAAGAATTGGAGGCTGACAAAAAGCTTGAATATTAATTATCGATAAACATCGTGTTAATCGTGGATTTGAATGTAATAACTCTATTTAAATTCATGCAGTGCTAAGTATAAGGTGGTTGCATAATATCTGAATCGAGTCATTGTCATAATTTTACAATTTTTTATATTGTGCACACCAGAATTTTGCTAATGTATTATCTTAAGGCAATATACACTTAGGGAATTATTTTTCTTTTTTTTTATTTTTATTTTTTCCATTGTTTTTTTTTTTTATATTAAGAAGC